CAGTCCGAAGTCAAGCCGAGTAAGACAAGCAGCAAAGTTCAAACAGGTTTAAATCAGAATCCAAAGCCAGGGTCAGACATACCAAAGTTCAATGTCCATAAATCCAAACGATGCCAGAGGAGTCAGAGACGAGAGCAGGGTCAACGAAGCCGAGGGTCAAAAGCTGAGGATCAAGATGACAAGAGTTCTGGAGCAGAGATACACGGAGTAGGTCCTGTCAAAAGACGTTTGCCAGCACAAGTTCCTTCCAGCAACAGGCTTGAAGATATACAGTGGACGGATGAGCTTGTCTTTGGCTGAGGGTTGGTCTAGATAGCCTTTTGTTTCTTTCCTGTCTGGGGCTCAAAATAAGTTAAACATTTTGTAGCTTTGTGGAAGACATGTGTTACTCTACCCAAACAAGAAAATTGTTTGAAGTTTTATTCTTAATGTAATACTTGCTACAAAGGCATAATGCATTTATTTGTGTGAAACTTTTGTATCCTGCCTCTCCATGCAATTAAAGGAGCAGCTTCCACTAATATGGGAGCTCCTAGGTGCCGCCGAAGGCAATGGCGGCCGGGGGCTGGTTTGCCGCCGCGGAGGAGGGTGGGGTGGCAACAGCGCCGCAGCGCAGTGTGCTGGGGCGTGGGCGGGGAGAAGCCAGCCTAGTTAGGCTCGGCTCATCTGTCCACCTCCTATATTCCTTGTAACAGCTATTTGCCTTTCTTTCAGCATCGTTCACAGAACATTAGTACTGGCATTAATTTTGTTTAGCATGCTAACAATACTAACGTGTATTAACTGTGTGATTATTTATTTAGTTGTGAGGAGCCGTAAAGACTATTCTGCTAAAAGAAGGGGTGGCAGGCTCCAGGCAGGGCCTGGGGATCACCCAGAATTACAGCTCATCTCCAGACTACAGAGATCAGTTTCCTTAGCAAAAATAGATGTTTTGGAGGGTGGACTCTATGGCACTGTACCTCACTGAGGTCCCTGTCCTCTCCATGCTCAACCACCGAAATTTCAAGAACTTTCCCAACCTAGAGCTGTTAACCCTACCCCCCCCCATCCCACATCAGTGGCCAGGGAGGACCTGGCAACCCTAACTAACAGAAATGGCAAATCTGGTGCATGGGTGTTGGGGGTATGGTTCTGTTACCTATTTTTATGCCTTTAAACTACCTATTACATGTGGTCCTGACCTGGATAGCCCAGACTAACCCAATCCCATCAGATCTCAGAAGCTAAGGAAGGTTGGCGTTGGCTAGCATTTGGAAGGGCGACCTCCAAGGAATACCAGGGTCATGACGCAGAGGCAGGCAATGGCAAACCACTTCTAAAACTTCTCTTGCCTTAAAAACAAGTCTAGCTCACTCCCTAGTGGTGCATAATGCTAAAGAGCTAGAACTTCTGACTGCCAGACAATCTTAGGATCTCCTGGCTATTCTACACACAATGCCACACAATAATTAATTAATTAATTAACCTATTACATGTGAATGGGAGCTAAACAATCAGACCTATGTAGTATCTAAATTACTGGCATGGATGATTTCTTAATTTCTAATTTCAGCCTACCTTTAATTATATCAAGAAGGTAGACTAACCTACTTATAGCATCTTTAAACCAGTCTGTTTCAAGAAAAGACTGACCAAGTACACTTTCTGTCCTTCTGCTGTTGGAGGGGTGGGTAAGGCCTGCATCTTCCTTTCTCCTATGTAGCTTCCTAACTGGGAAGTAGCAGGTTATAATGCTACCCTTTTACCTCCTCTTTCTTCTTGACTTTGCTGTCTTGTAACCAGAGCAGCAAGGAAGGAGTCCCTTGTGCGCTGACCCTGTATTCGTATGAAAGAGGCCTCACAAACAGTGCAAGCCCCACTTGAACCTCTCAGAAATGCCTGACAATGCCAGCCATAATGTCAGCTTTACTATGGCTGCGGTCACACGGAGCATTAGCCACACTACAGAGATGGAAGATAGGCGGATGTTCCGGGCGCGATCACAGCGCCACATCTGGAAAGCGTAGAGCTCCCGTGGCAAACCCGAGGCTTCCCGCTGAAGATGCAGGTAAAAAACTAGTACCTCCGAGGTACTAGTTTCCGGAAACCACGGGGCAAGGGCTGGCATCTGATCGCGTTTCCGGTGGTAGTCCGTGGTATCCAGCGCCCGCCCATGTCCCCTCGCAAACAGGGTTTCCCCCCCCCCCAAGTCTCCACAGCATGCGCCCAAGCCCCTAAAGGTTTTTTTTTCAAGTCTCCACGGGATGCACACAAGCACCCAATGGCGCATGCACACACTTTGTTTAAAAACAAACAACACAGCCCCCTCCTCTTTTCTGTACCCCCCCCCACTCCTGTCTCGGCCTGCTCGAGAGGAACTCTCTCCACCGGGCGGCAGAGGGTGAGGTGCAGGGGGGGCGTGGCGGGAGGGTGGCTCGGCTGAAGCTCCTCCTGGAGGGGACCAGACGGAGGACACAGTTTGCATTCCTCTGCAGCCCTGGAAGGGGTTAAACCCACGGAGCCTTTTGCTAGAGAGGCTGCTTATTTGCCACGCCGCAGGATTGTCCTGTGATCGGCACCTTCCCCCTAACCACAGGACCTTGAGGGGACCTCGACGGGACATCTGATCGTGCAGCCGTGCGTTATTTTGCTCCGGGCCAACAGCCACTCTTCCCCCCCCCGCCGCATTTTCCTGCCCGTGTAACGGGAGCCAGAGTCTGGCTAGTTCTCTGCTCCTCCTTCATTTAAACTGGAACTGCTGTGCAGGGGTGAGGCACCTGGGGGGTGGTCCTCAAAGTGAAATTGATAGCAAGAAAGAGAAATGTTCATTCTCCCAAACAGCAAGCAAGTTTCTTTTGTAAAAATGGGTGCAAAAGGTACACTATTTTAGAAAACCATCTCATGAACAAAAGAGTATATTACAGAGAACAACAAAAAAAAAATTAGGATGCTTGCAGTACTTGAGAAGGAGGACAAAGAAGGGTTCAGGATCTGGGTTGAGTTCAGGCTATTCCACAAGGTCTAAGATGGCAATGGCTTTTCTGCTACCCCTAAGCTGGAGAAGTCCCAGCCAAACCATGTGCTCTTTCACAGGCATCAGGCAGAGGAAAAGAGGAGAGTGATGAGTCCCAACTCTTTTTAAATGTAAAATGTCCTATCTTTGGGAAAGTATCATAAGCTTATAGGACCAATTAGATCTGGTCAAAAATTAATGACATAGTGCACCAGAACTAAGTTGAAGAATATCTCCTCTAGAGAATAAAGTTCATTACCATTTAAATTGAGAATTCCAGGAGGAAAAAGAAGTCTACTCAGAACACGGAGACACACTTTCCAGAGGGTCTAGTCAGAGAATAGGCATGACTGACTGAAGAAATGCATTTTTTTCCTGGGAGGTTTAAAATGGGCAAAACATCCACTGTGTGCTTTTAAGGGTTTTTTTCCCTCTCTGGGCAGAGACCAGGCAGGAGGGGGGAGTCAGTTCAATTGCTTCCCAGACATACCTCAGCTCACCTTCATACAAATGCTAATAGATCTAGCAAGAGAGATAATGGGTGGGTCAAGATCTCCCCCTTTCCCCAAGCAGGGAACAGAGATCAGAAACAGATATGATAAAAACTTGCAGTAGGAAGGAGATCTCTTTTTCTTGGGAGCAGACCTCTCCACAGGGTAGGTAGCCATTGACCATGTGCTCTCCTAAACAGTTGGAGCAAGCTTCAAGGTAATGGCTACTCTGTTCAGATTTAGAACTAAGCTAAAGAGCCTGTCCTATATTTTAACATTTGATAGGCCATGTACAGAGAGAGGGACAGAGAATTTGCATTTTACTCATTTCTTTTAGATCCTTTGCTCAAACTGGAGCTGTGCTAAAACCTGTTCACATAGGTCATAAGCATAAACAACAGGGAAAGCAGTTTTTAACATACAGAAAAAGGAATCATCTGTTGTGCTAAAAGTATGCATGTGAACATTTTCTTTTTAATAAATACTTAATAACTTTTGATGTTGGTAGTGGTTCAGATATGTATAAGGAATGTAATTTATAAATTAATTAAAATATGTAATAATAATGATGTTGGTAGTGGTTCTCTGTACCACGTAGACCTTCACCGTCTTTGACACAGTGTTTTAAAAGGAGTGCTGGGGGAAGCAGGCAGTTGGTGTGGCTATTCCTCCAGGGGCGTGCAAGGCAGTAAACTGCCCGTGGTGACCAGGTGCTGGGCAGGGGGGGACACACAGAGATAAGGCCTCAGAACCTGGAAGGGAAGCTGGGAGTCCTGACTCTCCCAGTGGGTTATTCCTTACAAAGGTCAGGTGGTGGTGCTGGGCTACCCAAGAGTGGAAGAAAAGCCTCTACAAGTGTGGAGAATAACTTAGGAGGGCAGGGCAGAATAGGGCCTGCAGGCCAGAGTTGGCACTTTCCACCACACTGACCACTCACTGTTTGTAGCAGGATTAAACAAAGGCAGTACAGAACACATGCATATTCAGTAAGACTGATTTTCCTTTTCTGGCTCCCATAATGGGGTCTGGACACCATGAATTGATTATAGCCACACCAAGTAGCCCAGAGTAATCACAGGCGGAGTCCTCTGGAACAACACAGAAATCGCAGAAGCTGAGAACCTAGCCAACTATCCTGCATGATTGGTCCAGCTAGTAACAATGCAGACTCGTTGTTAGAATCTGAAAACAGAAATTCTAAATTGCCTCTTCATGTTTGAGTTCAAGATTTGCATCTCCTCTGTCTCAAGGTCAGGTAATACAACGTGAAGGAATAAGTGAGTTAGATCCTGCCAGGATCTCTGTCCCATCTTACTTCAGTCCCATGCTGAACCCCACAATTTCTGGCATAACCTCCTTGGCTGTCAAAAGAGGAACCTCCCCTCTTTTTCACCAGGAGAAAAGCTGCTAAGATCCATCCTATTAAATAAAATATCATGTATTCCCACAACTCAAGTTCAAATCTTCAGTGACTCTAGTATGTTGAACTGATGCTATGAGGTGCTTCCTTGCAGCTAGAAGAAGCTACCAGTGAAAGAATGGACAAAGATGAAGAAGCTCTAAAAGCAGCCAGGGCAGAACTAAAGGAAGCTAGACGTCAGTGGCATCACATGCAGAGGGAAATTGACACTCTCCATGTCGTGGTAGGTGTGATCCAGCCACTCTATTAGATGAATGCTTAAAATTAAAAACAATTTTTCCCTGTATTGGTGAACAGTGTGTGTTTCCATGTGTCTGTGTGTGTAAAGTGCTGTCAAGTTGCAGCTGACTTACAGAGATCCCAGTAAGCAGTTTTCAAGGCAATTGAGAAGCAGAGGTAGTTTGCCATGGCCTTCCTCTGCTGAGTCTTCCTTGGTGGTCTCCCTTCCAGGTAGTAACCCTGCTTAGCTTTTGAGATCTGATGAAATCAGGCTACACCATGCTGCTGTCCTTCCCTTTAGTGAATAATACCTAAGATATTTTATTTTGTGAACTATCATTTATGTAACTCTAGATCTGACTACTGTAACACCCTCAACATGGGGCTGCCCTTGAAAACAGCCCTGAAACTTCAGCCAGTGCAGAATGCAACAGCTTGCCTCCTGGCTGAGGGAAGGTAATGGTGGCAGGCAGAGATCATTTCGGGGGCGAACGCGGGGGAACGCAGTTCCCCCGGGTGAGGTGCAGGGGGGCGGGGCACATGACAAAGCCCCGCCCCCTGCTTCCGGCTGCCTTGCTTCCAGCTCTCATTCAGCCAGGAGGAGGCAGGAGAAGAGGGAGGGTAAGTTGCTTCCTCCGCCCCTGATGTCAGGGGGTGTGGCATATGCTAATGAGTTATGTTCCTCGCATTCTCACTGGCCTTGCAAGTCCACCGCCGGGCCCCTGATGTCAGGGGGTGTGGCATATGCTAATGAGTTATGCTAATGAGTTCCCCTAGCTCTTTTTCTACGAAATGACCCCTGGTGGCAGGGAAATGCATTCTCTATAACTGTCCCTTCTGTGGAATAAGATCACCAGAGCTCAATATTCTCCTCAAATTTTGGCCTGCGTACAGCCTCCCCTCTCCCATGCCAGTTTCCCAGCCTGCAACAGTCCTGGGAGTGCTCACCCCTCCAAAAAAAAAGGGATTCTCACATCTAGAGAACTAGAATGTCAAAACCGAACTAAGTTTGAGTCCAGTGGCACCTTTTAGACCAATAAAGTTTTATTCTGGATATAAGCTTTTGTGTGCACGTACACTTCTTCACATGCACACAAAGCTTATACCTTGAATTAAACTTTGTTAGTCTTAAAGGTGCTACTGGACTCAAACTTTGTTCTGCTGCTTCTGACCAACACAGCTACCCACTTGATGGTTAAACTAAAACCCTTCTCCCTGGCATGCCAGCATTTTAGGTGGATAAAACTTTTCATGTAAATGCTCATGTTGTAGTACGAAGAAGCATTACAGCCCAGACAAAGGGTTAAACTGTGTGTTATATACAAACATGTATAACTATAGCATGGTTGGCTTATTTAACTGAAAAGCCACTTTGGGAGGAGGCAGCTGAGAGTGGAGAATCTGCAGGGAGAGTGATATCCATCTTCAATCACTATTCACAGTTCTTCCTGAATTTAGATTGGTAAATGTGCATTTTGATAATCATGTTGTGGGAGAAGCAGGGCTATTTTGGGGCAGGAACGCACAGGAACGGAGTTCCGGCTGGCACCCAAGCTGGCCACGCCCAGCAGGAACTAATTAGCATAATAGGCCACTCCCAACAGCAGAAACTCATTAGGATTGGTTACATTAGGGGTGTGTGGCCTAACATGCAAAGGAGTTCCTGCTACAAAAAAAGCCCTGAGTTTTGACAACAAACAAGGTAAACAGAATAAGAAGCAAAAGGTGGGTGTGACTGGATGACCACACTTCTGGTAACATGGGGGTGCGGCCTAATGTGCTAATGAGCTGTGCTGTCAGGGTTGTGGCCTAATATGCTAATGAGTTTCTGCTGTTGGGTGTGGCCTATTATGCTAATGAGTTCCTGCTGGGCTTTTTCTACAAAAAGAGCCCTGGGAAGTAATTCGGAGGATGGTTTAGAAAGGAGATATGGGGTTGGGTAAGGGTTAAGTGCCCTTGTTAAGGCTTCTTCACTCTCAGTCATCCCTTCTCAGGAAAAAAAAAATCACTACTGAGTTGCCTGTACCCCTGTGGGGAAAATAACATGGTAACCATAAATTTTCTCCAGGCAGGGTAAAACCAGTTCAGCAGAAAGCCGCAGCAGGGGGGAAAGTTCCCATGCCCTTCTCCTCCATGAAAAAGCAGCCTCAGCAGCTGCGTTTGAGAAAGACAAAAGTATCTTTTAAAACGAACACAGAAGAAAATATATCATCCTAAGTGGGGAATTAAAATGGAGGTAGAAAGGAGGATTGCAACTTTGAGGAATGCCCACAGTTTGTGACACTATGGACAACTTGAAAAAGCAGGTTTCTTTGGAAGGTGTATTGAAAAGTGGGAGCATGTATTTATTATGTTCCTGCTATGCACATCTTTGGTCCCAGCCCTTTTAACAGACTCCCCACTATGGCACTGTTAAAATCTAAAAATAACTATTTGTTAGAATCTAAAGTAACTATCTAATTGACGTGAAGTCTGAGGAACTTTCCCAAGACCCAAAAATGTTAAATAGAGCAATGGAGTCTGAAAAATGAAAATTATTTTCCTCAGGTAACATATGACACACCATACTCACATAAGTATATTTTACTGATGTATATTTTATTAATCGGACTTCTTATCTACAGCAACTATGTCATGATACAACTTGCTTGCAATTTGTTCTCAAGGCAAATACTATTAGATATTTCTGTAGGACTTTTTAAAGCAAGTACTTCTGAGTTCTTCATTCACTACATGGTGGATTATGTCTGTTAATGTAAAGCCGTGAGAGAACATCCCAGAATACTTTGCTTTGTAGATATTAAGGATGCCTTACAAGCTACCTTTCTCTAAATAAGGACTTTAAAAAAAATTATAGTCCACCTTTCTCACTTGGACTCAAGCTGGATGGGACATTCAATAAACAAGTATTCATCTTGCCTCAACCCGGCTCTGGCCCCAATCTAGTGAAATTATCTTCCAGATGAGATCCGAGCCCTGTGGAACCTGATTCAGTTCCACAGGGCCTGTAAAACAGAATTATTCCACCAGGAATATAGTTGAGGAAATGAAGTTCCATCTATATTAGCCTTCCCCAGCTCCCCCCCACCTTCCCACCAGTCATTGCATAGCATACCAGCTTTAAACATACAGTTTGTACAACCTTGCTTGGATAAACTGAATGGTAGTAGTGGTAGCAGCAGCAGTTGTTGTCGTTGTCGTGGTTCATAGTTTCAGCGAGTCATATGCAGTAGTATGGACCAGAATCCCTAATAATTTCTTCAAGTAACTTTATGAATCATTTAGTACAGTAGCCTGTGTAGAAAAGCCCTCTTGAATAACTCAAGTTTTGCATACTTTGTGGAAAGCCATGAGAGTGACCTTCTCAAGCAGGCCATTCCACAAGTTGGGGGCCACAATGGAGAAGGCACCATTGTTGATTCTGCCTATTTGCAGGCTCATGCCTGTAGAAGACCCTGCTCCAGTGAACAAAGCTGTCATGGCGGAGAATGGGGGAAAGGTGATCTCACAGATATGAGGGTCCAAGGCCATGAAGGGCTTTGTGTGTGATAGCAAATGCCTTAAATTGAGCCCAGTAACTGATGGGTAGCCAGTGAAGTGCCTGCAGCATGCTCCATCTAGTTCTTGATAACAGCCGAGTCGCGGCATTTTGCACCAAATGGACCGTGCACAAATTATTGAGGAAAGGATACACATAAAGGGTTTTTTCTTGTTTAGTCGCACAGTTGAGTCTGACTCTTCGCAACCCCATGAACCACATCACGCCAGGCCCTCCTGTCTTCTGTCGTCCTCTGGAGTTTGCTTAATTTCATATTCGTTGCATCGATAACACTGTCTAACCATCTTATCCTTTGCCACCCCCTTCTTCTTTTACCTTCAATCTTTCCCAGCATCAGGGTCTTCTCCAGTGAGTGCTCCCTTCTCATTTGGTGGCCAAAGTATTTGAGCTTCAGCTTCAGTATCTGGCCTTCCAGGGAACAGTCAGGGTTGATTTCTTTTAGGATTGACTGATTTGATCTCCTTGTAGTCCAAGAGACTCTCAAGAGTGTTCTCCAGCACCATAATTCCAAAGCATCTACTCTTCGGCACTCGGCTTTCCTTATGGTCCAGCTTTCGCAGCCATAAATTACAACTGGGAATACCATTGCTTTGACCATATGGCCTTTTGTTGGCAGGGTGATATCTCTACTTTTTATTATGCTGTTTAGGTTTGCCATAGCTTTCTTCCCAAGGAGCAGGCGTCTTTTAATTTCATTAACCAGAAAGATAGAAGGGGGTTGCAGTATGGTAAAGGTATAAACAGAATGGAACTACTGCAAACTGTGCATTGCAAGTTTATATTAAGTACAATTACAAAATATCAGATTATATATTCAATAATATGTTTTACAGATCACTGAAGCAATTGATGTCAACGATGGACAAACTCCCCCGGAGTTGATATTCGTTTCGAGGCGTCTTTTTCATACATCAAACCTCCTAGCAAGAAATGTACCAATCAATCATTCTTTGTCACTTTCAATATTCACAAGAGTTCTTAACCATAATATCAAGGACAGGCTGATCAGCCTTAGCCAGTATCCAGTATGCTAAAATTTTATAAAATATTTTGTAATTGATTAGACTAGAGTGATGTGATAAATTTATATTTTATTATAGAACCAAGGAATATCCAGTTTGGAAGATTTATGATCATGTGGAAGCACACTTATGTATGTATTTATATCTGTAAGTTGTATTTGATTCTTGCTGGGTATAGTTTCCGGGAATGATTGATTGGTACGTTTCTTGCTAGGAGGTTTGATGTATGAAAAAGACGCCTCGAAACGAATATCAACTCCGGGGGAGTTCGTCCATCATTGACATCAATTGTTTCAGTGATCTGTAAAACATATTATTGAATATATGATCTGATATTTTGTAATTGTACGTAATATAAGCTTGCAATGCACAGTCTTTTAATTTCATGGCTGCTGTCACCATCTGCAGTGATCTTGGATCCCAGGAACGTGAAGTCTGTCACTGCTTCCATGACTTCCCTTTCTATTTGCCAAGGAGTGATAGGACCAGATGCCATGATCTTAGGGGTTTTTTTATGTTGAGTTTCAAGCCCACTTTTGCGCTCTCCTCTTGCACCCCGAGCAAGAGGCTCTTTAGGTCCTCTTCACTTTCTACCATTAGAGTGATATCATCTGCATATCTGAGGTTGCTGATGTTGTTCCCTGCAATCTTAATTCCCGCTTGTGATTCATCTAGGCTGGCATATCACGTGATGTACTCTGCATATAAATTAAATAAGCAAGGTGACAATATACATCCTTGTCATACTCCTTTTCCTATGCGAAACAATCACTTGTTCCATATCCGGTTCTAATTGTCACTTCTTGACCCTTATACAGGTTTCTCGAGAGACATGTGAGGTAGTCTGGTACTCCCATCTCTTTAAGGACTTGCCATAGTTTTTTGTGATCCACACAATCAAAGGCTTTAGTTCAATAAAGCAGCAGAAGATATTTTTCTGGCACTCCCTTGCTTTCTCCATAATCCAGTGAATGTTGGCAGTTTGATCTCTCGTTCCTCTACCTCTTTGAAACCCAGTTTGTACTTCTGGCAGTTCTCTATCCATGTACTGCTGAAGCCTAGCTTGTAGGATCTTGAGCATGACCTTGCTAGCGTGTAAAATGAGTGCAATTCTGCGATAGTTTAAACATTCCTTGGCATTGCCCTTCTTTGAGATTGAGATGTAAACTGACCTTTTCCAATCCTGTGGCCACTGTTGCATTTTCCAAATTTGCTGCCATATTGAGTGCAGTGCTTTAACAGCATCATCTTTTAAGACTTTGAATAGCTTAGCTGGGATACCATCACCTCCACCAGCTTTGTAATGCTTTCTAAGGCGCATTTGACTTTGCACTCAAGGATGTCTAGCTTGAGGTCAGTGATCACAACATCGTGGTTGTCAAGGACATTGAGGTCCTTCTTGTATAGTTCTTCTGTGTATTCTTGCCAACTCTTCCTAATCTCTTCTGCTTCTGTTAGGTCCCTACTGTTTTTGTCCTTTATCATGGCCAGCTTTGCACAGAACATTCCCTTGATTTCTCCATTTT